TTCATTTAATTCACCTATTAGCAGGAAGCACTAAAGAGTCCATGGCTTCATATTTTTATTTCCTGGCTCCCATAGTACCATAGGAAGCAGATTTAAAAGCAAAACCTTACAATTCTTCAAACTCTTTCAGCTTGAAATCAACAATATGAGTCATCCCAAGGAAAAATTCTCTTCCTCTGAGACTGTAATTAAACTTTCACCCAGTTGTCTCCAATTGACTTTTTTCATTTCAAAACAAGCTTTTCTTTGTAAAACAATAGGATAACAAGAGGAAGGGGAGAAAGATGAGAGGTAACAAACATTATTTCTTGTAAATAAGCATCAATATGATTTAGCCAGGAAAAAATACCTGGTGTTGAGTCAAATAGAGGCAGAGACTGAGTCTGGAATTGTAAACAAACTAATTTTTCTTTTTGCCAGATAGTGTTGTTTTTGAAATTACTTTAAAATCGAGTCCATTTAGCTTTCTCTTTAAAGGGGAAAATAATTCAGTAAATTTAAGTTTATTTTGGTATTCTATTTGACGTGTTCCATTCCCCCCTTGGTATGTGGCCAGAATAAAAGAAAGAGGAAAGTGGTGATGAAATATTTCTCCAGGAAATCCTGAGCAGAAAAAACACTGTGTGCACACTGTTTTTCCTTGCTAAAGGAGTAAAATGTTTAGAGTGGTTTGAATTTCAGCATTTGTCAACTCTTTAGCTTCTGTTACTGCTTTGTGGACATAAATGTAACAGTATTATTCATTTTCTGAATGGGTTCACAGTTCTAATTGGGTCATTGGACTTTTCAGATTGTATACTTTTTTTTAATATCCTGTTCTTAAGGAGACACTAGGCCAGTAGGTAAACTCTTAAGAATCAGTGTTTTCCAAAGCCCAGCATTTCCTCTGACCCCAGCATCCTCAGGGCAATCATGCGGTGTCTTGTGTGTGTCTAATCTGAGAAAATAGAATATACTTTTCTACAGAAGGTTGTTATAAACCAGATTTGTAGAGCTCCCCACCCACATCAACACATAGACACCTATTTAAGAAATGATCCAGGGCTGGGAAGGTGGCTCAGTGGTAGAGTGCTTGGCTTGCATGCATGACGCCCTGGGTTCAATTCTTCAGCACCACATAAGCAAAAAGGAAAAAGCTGGAAGTGGCGCTGTGGCTCAAGTGGTAGAGTGCTAGCCTTGAGCTGAAGAGCTGAGGGACAGCGCCCAGGCCCAGAGTTCAGGCCCCAAAACCAGACCAAAAAAAAAAAAAAAAGAAATGATCGAGATAGAATAGAAAGAACTAAGGAAAAAATGCATCCAAAATCAGCAAAAGAAAATTTGAAACACATCAAATTTATATGGCAGAGTCCTTTCACTTTACCTAGAGACAGATCTGTTTTAAAGACACCTTTCAGTAGTTTTACCTTTTCCTTTCATTTATACTATATGCTCTGCTGGCTTGGTTCAGTTCAACCCTTTCTCTATCACCAGAACTCCATGAACAAGAGGCCAAGTGCAGCTTTCATCCTTCCTGGTCATCACTTCACTTTCAAACAGGACAGACAGGCTGCTTTTGCATCCCAACAAGCATATTCCCTTCTCTTTTCCCAGAAGGCCTCTCTTTGCCTTGTCTATGTCTCCTGACCCTACTGCCTTGGTACTCCTGCCCAGTGCCTTGCCGCTTTCTGCACATCCTCTCTTAAAAAGGTACTTGAAATTGCTATCGACTGTATGCTTACTGAAGACAGCCTGACTTGATAAACCTGATAGATAATTAACATCGTAAGAAATAAATAAGGTAATGGATGAATAATTATTTTTGCAACATTTATCTTCTTTGTTCTAGTTACCCTTTAATGTACAACTATGGACTGTTGCTCTTGCAAAGGACATTATACACAAATATCTGTCGTCCTTTTACAAAAATAAATGGCTCAAACTGTCCATGGTGGTGTGTCAGTTGTAGTTTTAGCACTTGGGAGATTGAGGCAGGAGAATTGAAAGTTTAAGGCCAGGCTTTTATCTCCAACAAAACAAAACAAAACAGCAATTGTCTCATAGGACAAAAGGGAGAAAAACAGGAATTGAGAGAGGAAAAATTATAGGAAAATACATATGATGTATTTTCATTAGGTAATCTAAATATTCACCAATACTAAACAGTGGTTACTGCTAATTCACACTGAAACTAAAAGTACTTATGGCATGTATTTGCTTTATGTTCAGGAATTGGGGCCACATATAGACCACATGTCAGTCTTTAGAGGGGAGCCTCACATTCTACATGCATTTCTCCCATGCCCTCAATAATATTTCCTTCATATTTCAGATAAATTAACACAGTCAATTCTTGTCTCCACTGATAGAATATGGAAGCTTGTGGATCTAGTGTTTTAGTTTTTCTGTTTGTTTGGTTTTTTTTTATTGTGAAAATACTGTACAGAGGGGTTACAATTACATGGGCAATATAATGAGTACATTTCTTATCAAGCATTATAGCCTCCTCCTTTGTTTCCCCTTCCCATCCCATCCCCCCCCTCCCACCCAACCTCCCCTCCTCACCAAAGTTGTAAAGTTTGTTTTCGACATAACAACTTTTATATCTCATTGTTGCAATGTTTGTTTGTTTTTTAAGTAACATGGGAACTTTTTTGATTCTTTGATTTGGTGCTGAAAGGTAAGAAACACAATTTGCATTTAGTTAAATACAATTATTTTGCTAAATCCAACTTCTCAGAATTAAAATTATATGTCAAATGTTGTGGTAAGGGAATCCATGCATGGGCATATTTACTCATTTCAAAAGTCTGAAGCTACACTATGCTATATGGACAGGAAAACATTACATAATCAAAATAAGACTTCTTATTCAGCAGGTTATATAAGCAGCTTAGCAGAACATCCCATAATGTCATTTTTCCACTGAGCCTGGCCTGATAGGGCTTCGGTCAGTGAGAAGGTTCTTCTAAGAACAGAAGCAGAAAGAAATAAGAAGGAAAAGAGGCCAATTCTAAATCATGGTTTTGAAATCATATTTACAGTACCAAAAGAAACATGACATAAGACTTAGATATTTAGTGCTGCTTTTCCAGGCTGTTAGAGTAGGTTTCCTTAACTTTTCTAATATCCATACTTGTTAACCTCGGCCATTCTATCTAAATTGTCTCGTTGCTATCTCTCTATGGCTAAAGAAGGGTTGTGTTTACGATATCAAAATCTTGTCTGGCCACAGTGTGAGCCCCATCACAGCTTTGGTTATGATTACCATTGACTAGTAGACAAATGTTAACTGATTTATGGGGCCAAAATGACGATATTTTTAGCCCACATTGACAAATATTTTTGAAGGTTTACAATGTTGCCAAGCAATTGTGCCAGGCACAAAGGTTAAAAGGTATTTAAAATTTAATTTCTACCTTCAAAGAGTTCTACCCAGCTTGAAAAACAGACACATAAATCAATAACCCTAATGCAATATCATAAATGTGCTTTATACATAAAAGCATGCTTAGTGTTCACACTGACAAGGAAAGGACAGTTCTGGGTCTCCTAGTATGCAATGACTTGTTTATAGATTAATATTTAAGATTTACATAGTGCTTTCTAAGCTCAGAATTGTGTTAAAGTAATGGGGTGCTTAATTCTACATTTAAAATGGAGCATGAAATAATTGTAGCCCTTGATGGAGAACTACCCAGAATTCACTAAAATACTGAAGCTACCAAAGACTAGAGAACATGGCTGTCATCTCCCCATAGACAACACACATCTGTGAAGGCTTGCTGCATATGAGATACTCCAACAGCCATCATGGTGCAATAGCCAGGGCTTGGAAAAGAAAACATCGTAAACAACTATCAAGCAGAATATTTATATTTTATAATGAGAAATGGCTCAGGAAAGCATCTATTCTAACTCTCACATTTTACAGAAAAGGAAACAGAGGACCAGTAGTTTATATATATATATATATATATATATATATATATAGTGAGATTTATCTATCTATAAGCACACAATGGAGTATTATTTAGTCAAGAAGAAAAAGAAATTGTATATTTTCAGAGAAGTAGAACAATCTGGAAATCAACGTATTGAGTGAATTAAGCCAGGTTCAGAAGGATAATGGTCATATGTTTTTTTCTCATAGATGGGTGATAAACCTAAAATAAATACATATGTGAACACATATAGTAAAGTGTGTGTACACACACTAACATTAGCATACATTAGCAGAAATGCATATTAGAGAGTTGAAACATGTCTTGTCTGGAGTGTATGTACAAGTAGAATGGATGAGACTAACCAAAAAGAGGATGAAGGGTGAGGACAGTCAAAATACTCTATGCACGCGTGTCAAGATGGAACGAAGAAATGTGCCAAGACTGGTTTGAGAAGGGAGCGGAGAAAAAAGGTGACTCTGATCATGATTAATTGTATACACAAATGGACATATTAAAATGAAATCCTCTTATACAGCTAATTGCTGCCAATATTTTTTCCAAATGTCTTAAATGTAATCAATGATTGGGAGCAGAAGACTAGTAGAGAATTACATCAATGAATTCTAGAGGTAGATAGTTTGGCCTCACTGCTATTCATTTTCCTCATCTGTAAAATATAAATAATAGTATAAGGCATGTGCAATACAAAAATAAGAGAATACTTATAAAATCACTAAGATTAAGAGGAGACAATAGAAACAAAAAAAACTTGGTAAGTGCTTATTTTAGAATTTTTTTTATTGTGAAAATACCGTACAGAGGAGTTACAATTACATGGGCAAGGTAATGAGTACATTTCTTATCAAGCATTGTTGCTTTCTCCTTTCTTTCACCTTCCTATCCCTTCCCATATTTTAGAATTTTTATGTCTTAATTCCTGCACTGATGGTCTTTCTATCACAACAAGAGGAAGGACGTGGAGTTTTGTCCATTGCTGTTTGATACAGAAAGATATCTTTTCTCTAGATCTGAATGCTCACCTGGTATTCTTGTTCCTCTTTATATCTTTTCTTTCAGGGCCAAGGAGATTAAGATCAAGTTGGGAATTCTCCTCCAGAAGCCTGACTCGGTTGTTGACCTTGTCATTCCTTATAATGAGAAGCCAGAGAAGCCAACCAAGACCCAAAAGTGAGTCATGATTGGATTCCACTCATTTTCTTCCAGATGACAATCATTCCTTAAGTGGATAGCATCACCCCTGTCTATAGAACTATCCCCTTCAATTCTTCATTGAAGATCACAAGAGTCCTTGGAGAGTTTGTTTGTAAATAAGCAGGCTTTGAAACACCACTGGTTCCATGTCAAGGAGCATAATATTGAACACTGGTAGAATTTTTGTAAAAAAAAAAAGACTTGCCTTTTCTTTTAAAATTGGACCCTATTTCACAAAATGGCACCAGATATCCCTCAGTTATTTAGCATACAACATGTGATCGTATGCAGTGTTAGGTAACTGTCGGTTAGGAAACTTCCCTGATCCCATTATGACCTGCACACAGCCTCCTGCTAAGGAGTATCCAAGGCTCTTCCTCAGCATGTTGACACAGACAAAGACATGTCCTCATAAAGATGTATTAGGCTATTTAATAGTTTCTTCCAAAGGTCCATCTGAGGAAAGATAGACTGTTATTTCTGGGAAAAATGAATACTTGTACTATTTCTACTTAATGTATATCATATATTTTCCCCAATTTATAAGTTAATATTTCTGATAAGATTCTTTTGTCTTCCCTCTCTTGTTCCCCACCATTGCAACCTCCACATCTTTCTTCAACTTGGTCATGGTAGGAAACATGAACAGAAATAGAAATATATAATATAGCAATATGATACTGGCACTATGTATATTATGTACTATATATCTTCAATGTAGTACATATATTACATAATATATCATAGAGTACATGATATATATGGCTATATATGTATACACATGTATATGTACCATATATATGATACATATAATAGGCCATATATCATACGACCTATTATATAATATATATATGATATATCATAATATGTATTTATATATGACACCTATCATATGATATATCCATATAGATCTATAGTGATAGATCTCTCTCTATGTAGATCTTTATCTGTATAGACATATTATGATCACATATATGTCTATATATATGCATGTGTATCTATATCTATCTATCAATCAGTCTATCAGTCTATCTATCTATCTATCTATATGCCAGTACCAAGGCTTGAACTCAAAGTCTCCCATTCTTGCTCAGCTTTCTTGCTTTACCACTTACTTGAACCACACCTCTAGTCTGGTTCTTTGCTGGTTCATTGGAGATGGAGTTCATAGCTTTGAACCACAGCCCTCCAGTTCTCAGCCTCTTTAATAGCTAGGATCACAGGCATAAGTTACTAGTATCTGGCAGGAAGCTATGGTTCTAAAGAGTCTGTATGTTATGGCAGTGAATCTAGATCTCAGTTTAAATGGGCCCCTCATTTGCCTGTTCATCTTCCTTCTAGAGCCATCTAGATCATTTCTGTCTAAATAGATCCTCTTCATCTTCCCTTCAAAAAGTATAGTTACACGCAGAATTCAAGAATGGAAAGATGGAAAAGGAAAAGCCAAATGTAATAATAACTTTTCTATGCCTCCTGCAAGTTTTGATATCACAGAAACATAGGAAAATACAGGAAACTCTGACTTCCATTTCTCATTTTAAATTTAACATTTGTAGAAAGTGGCTAACCCATCTTTTGCCCAAATGACCTTCAACTTAATATAGCTGACTTGGTTGGCAGATAAAGAAATGCCTTATGCTTTAAAAAAAATCTTAAGTGGATATTTCCCTTCTCTTTTCATTACTTCAAAGTGATCTCAAAATGGAAGTGGGGCATAATTGGGTTTATTGCATTGCAAAAAAATTTTTTTAAAAAAGGATAGCTAATTCAATGGAAAACATGAGGCTCAGAGTACTTATGGAGAGTAAGAATGACATCTCTTAGTAGCAAAAGATCAAAAGGTCTACTTTGAAGGAAATAGTTTGGTAATTGTTGACTGGTGGAATAAATTTTTTAAAAATATAGTCCTACATTTCCTATTTTGATTCTGCAGGTTAATGTCCCATGTAAACACTTGTACTATTTGGCTAAATAGATTCAGAAGCAAACTTGTGCTGCCCTTATTGGGTTATTTACCTCTCTTGCCTTCCATCCAATTTCTCCTTCTGAAAATTTGATTTATTTCCGGAAAGATGTTCCCATCCCTAAAGAATCTCTTTCCTTTTTCTCTCTGTTGTTTATTATAATTTTTACAGTGACTACTAAGTATTTCACTCTCTTCCAAATCCATAACCCCCAACTCTTCCAAATCCCCAACCCTTCATGTTGGGCAAATTTCTCTGACTTTTATCTAGCAAGGAGAGTTTGGCTTTTGTTTTGCTTTTCTAGAGGGACAGAAGAAGATTTACAACACACTATAGCACATACCAACTATCTAAGGGTGATGAAGGAGGTCTTCCCTCTAGTGGACATGTTTCTGATCTGAACACGAATGGGGACCCTGGCTGACCCCACCAGTAAGTCAAGACCAGAACATAACATATCATGATAAAAATTTTCCTACATGAACTCCATCAACTTTTATTTTCTCATCATTTTCTATCATTCCTTTTTAAAATCTACCTGTATTCTCTCAGAGGAAAAATTAACCCTCTGGGATGAAAGTGTTCTTAATCTTGCTTATCTTTCTTATTTTTTAGGAAACATTTCAGTTGCTTAATATATTTTCAATTCTTGATTGATTAAAAAGAAAGTAGGAGAAAAATGAGGGAAGGGGTAACAAGGTTGACAAGAAATGTACTTATTACTATACTTATGTAACTGTAACTCCTCTGTAGTTCACCTTAAGAATAAAAAAAATCGAGTCAGTATAATTTGTGGAGAGGAAGGGGAAAAACAAGTCGTTTAAATAAGGATACAAGTGAACCCGTTGCAGCAATGAGAAGTACAAGTTGTCATGTCGAAAACGAACTTTACAACTTTGGTGGGGGCGGGGGGAGGGGGGGAGGATTGGATGGGGGGGGGGGGGGGAGGCTGGGAAGGCATGTGAAGGGTAAACAAAGGAGGAGGCTTCAATGCTTGATAGGAAATGTACTCATTATCTTGCCCATGTAATTGTAAGTTACAATAAGTACAGTAAGTTCACAATAAAAAAAATAAAAAAATTGAATCATTGGGAAATTAAAAAAAAAACAAGAACAAAAACAAAAAAACAACAATTGCTGATATTTCTGTACCAAACTCTAGCTTTGGTTTCAGATTTACTAGTTTGAACAACTCTTTTTCCTCAGATCTTGTCTTCTTCACTTGGAGCAAACAAGTACCCTTCCCTATTTCATGATCTCTGCTCTCCAGCCCCTTGGCATATAACATTCACTTCTCTTCTCAGAGACCTCTCAAAGTCTATATTGTACTTCTAACATTTTCTTTGTCTTCTCATTAGGCTTTAAACTCCTCCTCTGCCCCGATCTACCCCTCTCCCTCCTCCTCCTCCTCCTAGGCCCCTTTTCTGATTTGTCTGCAGCTCACTAGCTATCTCCTTGTTAAAATTCTCTAAGTGCTTCCCCCCCCCCCACACACACACCAAGGCTCTGTTGCAGGTCATCAAAATGAACGATAAATAAAATTAGTAAGCCACATAAGTTTAGTTTGTGATAAGAGTTAGTTATTGGTACACACATGTAATCCCACCTACTCAGGAGAGAAGGCATGGGTCAGAAGATCATAGCCCAGGCTAGAGTTGGCAAGAAATATCTGAGACCCTCTTTAAAATTTAACCAAATCAAAAAAAATGAGGAGGAGGCATGGCTCAAATGGTAGAGTACTCACCTAGGAAATGCAAGATCCTGAATTTAATCCCCAGTAACACAAAATTTAAAAGAGAAGGAAAAAAAAAACAAAATCAATATCAAAGCCAAGCCAAACAAACAAAAATCCCACTTCTGGCACATAGAATAGTTAAGACACTTTGCATGGTTACAGTCCATGCATGGAATTGACAGCAAGAGAGCAGGTACAGTCATGGTTCATAGGACTCATGGTTTAAATATAAGTTAATCTTCTTCTGTGGCGTTCAATAGCCAGACAAACTTTGGGTGAAATGAGACAGCATACACTCACGTATAAATTTGATGCATCTACATTTATTGGAGGCTGTCTATCCTGCAGTGAGTTTTGCTCAGGATCAATCTCAAGTCCATTAGCATTTACTGAGCCCTTATCCCATGGCCAATACTGACCTGGAAATGGTGTGGTGATAGATGGAAAAACAAGAAAACTGTTGCATATATATGGACTCACAATTGCACATACATCTTTATGATCACAACAGAGGTCACTTATTCAGATGCCACTGTGGGGGGACAAGCCACAGGATAGGGTGGGAGGGGAAGGGGTTTCTATGGATGGCTATGGTTTTCCAGCAGCAAGGACACCATTGTCATACTGGGAATTTAGCCAAGTAAAATATGGTAAGAATGGTGAAAGGAAGGGAGAGCTGCCAGCACCATGTACTATGGTCATTTCCCAACCAGTTGGCATTTATACTGGGCATTATAAAACACACAGTTAATCATTACTATAAATGCTTATTTGTCCTGTCATTTGGAGTAGCTTCCTCTCCCTCTGTCACACACCCACACAGAGACTTTGTGCTTACTCTCTCTGTGGTGAGCTGGGACCTTGCAAGCCAGGATGCTTTATTGGTCATTTAGAGATCTGCATCTATCTTGTTCCCAAAGAAGTCAGACTTAATGAGGGCTGACAAATTCTGAGAATCAGGACAGGATGAACTGTTACCTCCTAGGCTGGTCATCAGGACACTAGGATGCAAGCTGTGGGAAATATGTCATGTTTGACTTGGACCTTAAATCCATTTGGACTGATTTCACCCCCAGGCATACCCTCTGAACACATCCTTTTCAGGAATTTAATCTTGGCTGTGATGCTACTAATATTGACCTGGTTCTAACAAGACCATTTGGGACAAAGGGAGATCTGGTAATAAAGTTTGGTGCATCTCCCCATGACATTGTTTCTTCCTGAACTCCTAGCCAGAAGGTGAGGGCTGAAGGTGATTGCATTCTGAAGGTGATTGTCACTCCCTTTGGTCTGAGCCAGTTGCTTTTGTTCAGTAATTCAATGTCTTGCTGCTTCTGCAAACAACTGGACTTGGTAGATGTCTATTTTATGGGAAATGTTGAACCCACAGTGAACAAATTAAAGAGTATATGGCCTTATGTTGAATAGGTAGGTCTGAAGTGACATATCCATAGAGAAAGTTCTTGGTATAAAGCAATATAGAAGAGTCAGAAGGAGTTATTGACTTCTAGAAAATGTATCCTTTTTATAGTATAGAGACACACTTCAACCACATCTCAGGTCACTTTTCCTCCCTATGTCCCTTCCCATGAACAGAAGTGAAGGGAGCTCACTTGTGAAAAATAAACTTCCAGGGAATTAGTGTGTTTTCAATCTATTATATTTGTCTTTATAGCCTGGAAAATAGAAAATACCTCAGGTAATTTCACAAGGGTTGTTACTGTCATTTTTTTCAAGTATAAGTTTCAAAGAGTTAACACATAAAACATGATGAAAAAATCACATGATTTAAGATTCACACTCTGTACATTGCAATGAGGAACTGAAAAGTTAGGAAATAATCATGGTGTTTTTAGCCAAGAAATCCACTGCTGCCTTAGACTCCTTACACAGACAGAATGAGGCAGAATCTGAACCAGCAACATGAAAAATGAAATGATTATATTGATCTCAGATGCTGGCTTCAAACATCGAAATCCCCAAAATATCATTTCTTAAAAGTCAGAAGCGAGAATTTTCCTGAAAACTGATAAACAATTTTAGAGCTAAGGAAATTCTAATTTGCAAAAACATCCTTGTTCCCCTTCCGCTTATAATAAATGCCCTATCAGTCTATCCTGATTTGACAATGAAGAACTCACATCCTAGTACAAGAGTTCAAATAAGGTGCTCCCAGAGGGAACAAATGCAGTCAACCATCCCTACCACCCCTCAGGCAAAATCAGCTCACTTAGACACATCCTGCTGTGAGAAAAGGATTGGTGGTTGAAAGCAAATCGCTGCTGGGTATCTGCATATATAAATGTTAAAATAAAAGCAGCAGTGTAGATATATGAAAGCAAACCTATCATCAGACCAGTTGTTAAAAAAATTCAAATGTCCTTGTCCTGAGAATGCATATTACTTCCACCACATAGAGAAACAAGGCCAAGGCATTGCTGTGCATGTATTTAACTCCCTACCAATGCTATCAGTGTTTTCTGTTCTTATTCCTGATTTTAGGCCCTCGCTGGATGAGGCCCTGCAATGGCGTGACTCCCTGGATAAGCTCCTGCAGAACAACTGTAAGTTCACATTATTTCTCATTATGATTAGGATGGAGACAGAGACACAAAACACTTTGGCTTGGCTCATGTCTTTCTTCCTCAATTTCAACATTTCTTCCATATTTCAAAGTGGCTTCAACAAGAGAAGATTGCCATGGGTGTGTAGTTATACAGCTGGCTAGGAGAGGAAAAAACAACTGTGGGAAAAAGGAAGACATACTTGCTTACTTGTGTGAGCAGAGAAGTGGCTTGACCTGAGTGATTGTTACAACTCTCAGCAGTAACACTGAAAAACTATGGATTGGTGAGGATTGATAGTAGCAGTACAAAGACCTCTGCACAAGTTATGGATTATATATAGCTCCAACTGCTATCAGCTACTCTGGTGGCCTGACAAGAATTATATCTTGAAGTTCAGATCCTCTTCTGACAGCAGACCATATTTTTATGTTCAAAACAATATAAACGTCAGAATTCTTTTCCAAATGAAAACCAGCACAACAATGAATACTCCTTACCTTTTCCCTAACCTCAAAGCCTTACTTATTCTCATACTTATAGTATTAATTTCAAAGGTCTCATAGTGAAGACTCACCAGGTTAACTCTGGGGCTAATCTTTAGGAAAATTGAATTGTTGTCAGAGTGTGTAAGATTTCTACATAATCCCTTTGTACTCATTCATGTCTCTTATCTGATGAAATTCTCTCTTTCCTATAAGAGCTAACCTTCATGTCAAATGCCCAGTGTTCCATCCAGAATGAATGATTCACCCTCTGGACTTCCAGAGACCTCTGTCAGCACATTGTTCATAAGCTGATGGGTAGGTTTTGCATTGCCTTCTGTTTGTTGTTGTCTTCCTTCTGTGAAAGATTCCTGAAGAAGGACTGGTGGCTAATGTCACCGACCTGCACAAAAGACACTTGACCTACTTCTCTGCACATCAGCGGCTGTGTAGGAACAACTATAAGTCACACTTTTGCTACTCAGTTCTTATGAGATATTTTTGTTTGAATCTGCTAAAATGAATAATGTGCATCTAGAAAATGTCTGAGGTTAGCTGGGATTCACACAAAATAGGGAAGGAAGACAGATGCATTTGGGAAAGTCATGCTTCCAGAAGTTCACAATTACTTCTGATAAACTTAAAGCATTTAAACTTGGAGAAGAGCATATCTGTTGAGTTATGAGACATTTGGCAATTTTTTGTATTAAAATAGGCCATTTCCCCTCATGGTTGATAGAATAATCCAGTTATTCCTTATGCCAAAATTTTCATCAGTGAGTATAAAGACAATTGGTACCAAGCCTCTAAATGATACAGAAGCAGGTACGCTGCTATTCAAGCTTTTCCACCTAGCAATGATGCTCTTTTACTCATTCAATCATCCAGTGTCTTTCACTTTATTCTTAAAGTACATCTTCTTCTATACTCTGCCCTCAGTTCTATGAGTGTCCCCATCTATTTTCATCTATTAGGTCTATGGGTGTTTATGACAAGTATGTTGTTTCTGTAAACACAAAAAAACCAGATTGCATTTGGGTGCTTATATGACACTATTTCTTCCAAATGATCATTTTTGAGAGAGACGGGAAAGTGAAACAATTGAGTGGCAGTCAAGTTTTTAGTGGATCCTCCTTTCCCAGGAGTTCTAGAAGGTCAAAATATTTTCTTGATACACTCTTGAGACTGAAGTAGCCTGATCCAGGCTCTTTTTTATTAATAAGTTTTTTTTGTTGTGAAAATACTGTACAGAGGGGTTACAATTACATGAGCAACGTAATGAGTACATTTCTTATCAAGCATTGTTGCCTCCTCCTTTGTTTCCCTTTACCATCCCTGCCCTCCCCCCCACACCCCCCTGCAAAGTTGTAAAGTTCGTTTTTCAATGTAACAACTTGTACATCTCATTGTTGCAATGGGTCCACCTGTATCCCTATTTAAACAATTTATTTTTTCCCTTCCCCTCCACAAAGTATACCAACATCAAATACAGTGAAAACAGGGTTATACCGTGGGGGAGGGACATACAAAGCAACAAAGAAATTATCTTATAAACATGTTAGAAACAATAGCAAGAAAGAAAAACCATTTGAGTCCTTATCTTGGGGTTCATTTCACTTAACATCAATTTTTTGTCTCTACCATTGCCTCTCCTTTTGTTTCTCTTTCTTTGTTTTCTAGAGTTTTTAAAAATATTTTTCTTCTTGTCATCTAAGTCACTGGAAACCACAATTTCCATGCAAGGCAATTATTTTTAATAATAAAAGCAAAACTAATATGTCGATTCCTTACATGACAGGTAACTATTCTAAGCACTTTGTATGCATTTACCTATTAAATGATTTTAATAATTTTGACATAGTTACAATAATAATCCCTCTTTTTAGAACAGGAAACTGAAATTTAGAGAGGCTAGATTGCCCACAAAGTACTAAAGCAATAGCAAAATCAGAAAATTCTTTTTGCTTTAACGTTTGTATATTTTGATCTGCCAATCGGAAGGAAGGAAATGCTTCCATTCAGTGAAAACCTGTATTAACTATTAAGTGCACAGGTTTGGGCTAGAAGATAGGAAGTAAAAGAGAGGCAGAAGTAAGTGAAACTCAAACCTGGAACTTAAAGAATTTATATTTCTTGGAAGAGATGGCTACAGAAGTAAGTGATCTCAACAAAAGAACAGAACTGATCTCTTCCTACCTAGGAATGAAAATCCTCAGCAGTGGTGAAGACACCTCAGAAATGAGGCAACATTTTTTAATAATGACAACGCTGAATCTTAAATTTGTTATAAATAACACTGACAAAGCCAGCATTTATGGAGATACATACATAATGATAGTTGTTTGGCACCATGTAAGAGCTGTGTCTGAATTATATAATCCTAGCCACAGCCCTATCAAGTAGGTCCCCTTATCTCCATTGACAAATGAAGCAACTTGACCAAGTTTCTGCAACAATATCATGTGCCAGGATTCACTCCCAGGAGATCTTGGCTGTAGGATCCATGCTGTCATTCAATAAGCTATGTAATGTTGCGTATCAATTGTCAGTACCATTTTCTTCTTCTTCCTCCCTTCTATGGGAAGAGATTTGTGCACTCTTCTTTTTAGTATCTTTTCCTTTATAGAAAACTCACTGGGACTTATCTAATTCTGCTTTTATTCACCAAGTGATCTTATAGGTGCTTCCAGGAGATTGGACTGGCATCATCTGCTTTCTGGGTAGTCAATGCCTGAGGAGGTATGTTGAGAGGGTTAGGGAGGCTCATGCAGGAGCAGCAGGGAATGTGTGGCTTTCTAGAGATGTAGGTTGGGAGTTCTCCTGGGGTGTCAGGGCAGAGAAGGTGGCAGGGCAGAAAAAATATGCCTTCTTACATAAATATTTAGCTTGGAGTCTTTTCAACTCTTGTCCCAAGAAGACATCCTCAAGGGTGATAGGAATTCAACAGAGAAGCTATCACTAGAAAAGTATAGATTAGTAGAAATGCTGGGCTACTCGAGAAGGTATCATTAGAATGAATGAATCAAGAGAAAAACCACAGTGTAGGGAGGAGAAAGAGCAGTGAGAGTTGTTGTAGAGGGTCCCATAAAACAATTCCCTAGACATGCTCAAAAGTCAGGTGACAGGAAGAATAAATTTAAACATCTCCTGGATCAATAGGGTATAAAGCCATTTGTGAGTTAGGGTCCATGTGTATACATGGACAAAGTCTTGAAATAATTTTCTGGAATTCAACTAAAGCTATAGAACCAATACACAGGGTGACTCACTACCCTGGAAAATTCTTTTCTAGGCTTATTTCCTGGAAGTATAGTAAATGTCAACTCTGTTGTTACGTCCTGACACATGCCCTTTCATCTTAAATAACAATGTTTGGGAGGACTTGTCTTTTAGCTCTCCATTTTACAACAATATAGAAAGGATGATTCAGAATGCCTGGTAGTTTATTGGGTTTGGGGGTTAATAAGAATTAATTTGACATGGGCCTATTTTTTAGAACTATTTTCTCCTCTGCAGTCTTAGATCTAGTCTGTAAGAACTCATAAGGTTTCATTTCCTGGCAGCTGAAAATCCCTGGGAATTTTTCCATTTCCACAGAGACTATTTGACATCGCTTATTTAATACGCAGTGAAACTTAACCGTGACACAAAGAGAACTAGTCCTTATTTCTTCTTTCAGTATATATGTTGACTCCCATGTCATTAAATGATGATAAATGGTGATGGGAATCTAACAGAAAATACAAGTAGAGATAGAAAGAAAATACACCTGATTTTAACCAGGAAAGGCTATCAAAGAATTTTAAAGTAATTCCTCAATTGAGGTCTCTAGAGGAAATTGTTTATCATTTCTATCATTATTCCATGATAGGTTTTCAAGTATTGATCATAAAAATATTTCTAGAGTAGGTATAGGGAGAAACGATTAAATTATGCAATGCCTTGTGTGGATGCTGAAATCAATGGTGGCTTTAATCCAAATTAATTTTCACTCCAGGTATTCTGTTTCTTCAGAATTGAATGTGGTTTCAGAGACTGTGAAGAGCATGGGTGATAAAAATATACCTAAAGTAAATCAAATACTGGAGGACACTACATCTCTGCTTTAATCACCACATATATTTTTGCTTATGTGTCAAGTCACTGCATGAGGCAATGACTAGTGAATGCAAATTCGGTCTGTATGAAAAAAAAAACTTACAGGAGAAAAACTCAAGGGAAAGAGAAATAGATTGAAACTGGGTCAAAGAAAATGCATTGTGAATAGTGAATACATTCTGAAGGAGCTCATGGATTGTTGTAGAAGCATCTCTGTTGGGGCAAGTTGGAGGAAACTTGGAGTCCTTTTTACCTCTGCCCTGAAGAAAGGTGACACATAAGCTTGCTGGATTGGTACATCTTACAGATAGAAAATTAGAATTATAGCTGGGCACCATTGGCTCACACCTGTAATCCAGGCTACTCAGGAGGTTTAGATCTGAGAATCGTGGTTCAAAGCTAGCCTGGGCAGGAAAGACTATGAGACTCTTATCTCCAATAAACCACCAGAAAACTGGAAGTGGTGCTGTGGCTCAAAGTGATAGAGTGCTAGCCTCGAGCTGAAGAGCTCAGGGATTGCACCCAGGCCCAGAGTTCAAGTCCCGTGATCGGAAAGAAAAGTTGAATTACCTCATTTCTCTAGAATTTTTCTTTTCTTATGTAACAAGGTAACACAGATTTTCTTTCTACAGATATATATATATATATATATATATATATATATATATAATTTGTTGGAATTTTGGCTTAAAATGTTTCATACATATGAAATATGTATCTAATATATGAGATTCATATATATAAGGTATGTGAATGTATATAAACATACATAGTTTTTATGTTTTCCATCTCCCTTACCTTATTAAATCTTCCCCACGCATTCTATTCACCTTCCATGTTGGAAATTAATAAAGAAAGATGGGAAATAAATGGAAAGAAAAATGACCAGATCCAAGAATTTTCTGAGATGGCAATCTATCTATATCTTTATGTAGATGGATGTGTTTCATAAACTAAGATTTGTTGTAGCATTACAACTGAAGACAGAATGATGATTGTTACTTTAAATGCAATATATGTCAATCACAGGTATGTCATTTATGGCCACACTAACTAACTACATGTGGCATCTCTATCTGACCCTTCCCTTTAGTTCTTACCTTGAATGTTACTACCTTCCCTTCCCTCACCCTGTTATGACTCTGTAGTGATGCACCTGAATACTTAGTGTAGTTCTTCATTTTCCTTTGACTATAAGCTTCACCGGACAGGAGCCATGTTTATTTTATTTACCACACTGACTAAGCATAGTACCTGAAGCATAACAAATTACTTGGAAATAATTTTCAGAAAGAAATTACCAGGATTATGTATGATACTCCTCATTACTATTTTTTATACTGGCAAACCATATGTGAAATGATTGTTTCTGCATTGGTAATTGATATGTGTCTAGAATGGCATCAGTGTCAATCATGTTCCTGGATGTCATAAATAGGTTTGTGTCACCTAAATGCACACTGCATTCAGTTGTATCAAAAGACAAGCTAATAAACTTCTGTCCGTGTCAGAGGTTCCTTTGTCATGACATTTGTACTGGCCTTGTATTTTTCTCTCAGTCCAACTAAACTAGAAAGCAGGCAGTCATTTTATTTCTATTCCAAGAAGCTGAATCACATGTCTCTTTGGGAAGTGGCTCAGAGTACTGGATCGATGCATGGACTATTAGTCAGATAGTCTAGGTTTGAATCCTGGCTCTGCCACTTACAGTCGGGCAGCTATGAGTAGTCACTTGACTTCTCTGACCTCACCAGTAGAGTACTTACATGTGGCACCTGTCTCTTAGCCATGAATCAGAGCTGAACAAGTAACATTTATAAGGTTCTTTCATCAAGGATAGACATACATAGGAAGTGATTCCAGGCTATACACAGGCTATAACACTTGTTAAATAAGTTAACAGACCATCTTAAGTGACTCTTTTCTTGTTAGATGGGCTTGCCAGCTTCAAAAGTTTCCTGAAGTCTGAATTCAGTGAAGAAAACCTTGAGTTCTGGATTGCTTGTGAGGATTACAAGAAAATCAAGTCCCCTGTCAAGATGGCTGAGAAGGCAAAACAAATTTATGAAGAATTCATCCAAACCGAGGCTCCTAAAGAGGTTGATTCTGATGTGGGGTGGGGGTGGGGGATGGGAGTTTGCATGCGGTTAGTTGAAGATTAGATCAACACATTCCCAAGAAGGATGCAGGCCTGAGATACAGATCCAACACTTAGCACTGAGGTTGGCCCCTATTTGTGAGTGGGCTTTGTCAGATTGGCACTTAACAACTTGAGTCCTGTTCAGACCACTTCATGCAATCTTAAGTTGGAGAGATGCCACTGAGGATTCTTGGATGACAATGTTCTCCTCTATCAAAATAAGAGTAATGGATATTTGTTTTGTGAGTGTTTGAGATAACTGTCTACTGAGTATTCCAACTATTTGTCTTTTTTTGGTTCCTCTTTCTTTCCCCGTACCTGTCTTCAAATTTCCCCTTTCCCCCTTTTTCTGTTCTTTCACATCCTTTAATTCTCTTTCCCTGGTTTTGGGCATTCATACCCTCGTTGGGAGAAGTGCACTTCTATTCATGAAAACCAAAATAATACAAGATAGTAGTGCTACAGACTGGCTGCTGTTTGATTAGAAAAGACAGCATATGTGTTTGTTTCAAAGAAACTTTGGAGAAACTTTATCTTTTCCTTTGCTGTTTAATTAAACCAAGTTCCCCTTAACCTAATCTGAACATTACATGTTTCATAGAAACATGTTTGGAATAAGGAACAGAGATGACTGAACAGCTCTTTGTGTAGAAAGTCATTTATTTACCATGATTTGAAAGGAGGAAGTTCATAACATCTTTTTTTCCTCTACATGTGGGGTAGAATACTGTAGCTTCAACATACACTAAAAAAGACATCAAATATGTTTGGATAGATGGGAAAACTGTATGACTCAATACCAACAGATATTCTTTCCATACACAGACAGCAAAGGTTAGAAGGATGAAAGTACAGAATAATGAAAGCCAATGTTAAGAAAATGAAAATCTCCAAGAAGGGAAATAGGTTGTAATCCTGCTGTGGGCATTGATTTGGAAATTCTCTCCAGATCTCCCCTCCTACTTCCTCCACCTCCCATTATAAGCACATAAGTTAGCTCTCCACTAATTTTTAATTTAATTTTATTGTAAAGATGCTGTACAGAAGGGATACAGTCACATGAGTAAGGTAATGAGTACATTTCTTGTTTTGAATTGTTACTCCCTCCTTTGTTGTTTTCCCACTATCCCTTTCCTCCTCCACCTCCCACGCTTTTCCCCCGCCCGAAGTTGTAAAGTTCATTTCCAATATAGTGTCTTGGGGGTATCAATGCTGCAATGTTTCATCCTGTGTGCTAGTTTCATCATTTTGTTATTCCCCTTCCCCTCCTCAAATTGGACAAATGTATATAAAAGATGGGGTTGGAAGGGCATTATGGCTCAAGTGGTATTGTGCTCACCTTGAGCTGAGGGACAGAGCCCAGGCCCAGAGTTCAAGCCCTAGGACTGACAAAAAAAAAGATGCAGGGTACCAATATCAAATACAGTGACAACAGGAGATATACCATAGGGGGAAGATTTGTTATTGCTGAATGTGGAGGCAGACATTGGAATCCATCATCTCTGAGGCTGCTTTCAATTCCGGCATTCCTTTACATCTACTGTGCCTACTTAAAGCAATGACCTTGAACTTCCAAAGACAAACTAGTCAGGCTGTCCTAAGTGGGAACTGCCTAATTAAGCCTTTGTCTTGACTCTAACCTGCCATAACTATCTGAGACTCTGAAATAACCCTCTTTTCCATAGTGATGACCTCTATCATCCTAGGAAAGACCTGAAGCAATTTTCATTGTTCTGATCTAGGACTATTGACTGATTTGGATTCTACTTTTCTTTTTAACACTTAGTCATCCTACAAGTCATTAAAGCATGCGTTGTAAAGTATAAATGTCCCCTTCACATCCCAGTGGGATAGACTCATATGTTGTATCTTGCACAGCTCACAGCTCAGGAACCCATTCTCATAGGCCCTAATAGTAATGATGTTCCAGGAAGTATGATGTAGTGTCCCTGCACCTGGGACATGGGCGTCTTGATGCTTTCTAGTGCCCAAGGCTGCTGCTAACAACCTTGGGTTCAAGAGCCACATTGGATTTCCTTTTCTATGCTATTTGTGGCCTTGGACAAGTCACACAATATTTCTATAACTTTATTTCCTCTTCTGTAGCATATAGGAGATGTCTGCATCTCACAGACATGTGGGATTGAATGAATTTATTCACCTAAACCTTGCAGCACACCATCTGACACTGACTAACCTCTCAAATACTCACAGCCATTGGCTATATTTATGATTCTATCAGAACTATTATTTCCTCCTTGCTTTCCCAAAGCCATAAAAAAAGATCACAATCAGAATTTCTTTTTCTGCTGCTACTCCCCCCACACACAAGGCAGGGAAGTAAATACTGTGGTAGAAAGATTATCAAATTAAGTATCAGGACGTCTGGATTGAAATTATGATCTTCTGAATTCAAATGCTCTTACTAGTGGTATGATCTTCAAGTCACTGAACATTCGCTCTCTCTCTCTCTCTCTCTCTCTCTTTTTCTCTCTCTCTCCTTTTACTCTCCTGTGTGTGTGTGTGTGTGTGTGTGTATGTGTGTGTGTGTGTTAGGATTAAATAACACATGTACTTGTTGGCTAGTAATGGAAAGACTAATAGCAATTAGATGTATTAATGTTGGTTCAATCTGAGTTATCCATTTATTGGAATATCAATTTTTCTATCCTGTTGCCTATAAAATAACAGTGACACTTCTCATCTTTCTGTAACTCCTCTGGCATCTTGGGATTTTTTGTTGTTGTTTTTAGACAAGTTCTCAACAACACTACTATGATAACTAATTGAGGGTAATCTTGGACTTGCAATTCTCCTGCTTTGCTTCCTGAGTTGCTAGATTGTAGAAATGAGCCACTAGGCCCAGGATGTATTTTACTGACAAGAAATCCCACCTGTCTGTCCACCCACTGACAATTCCTGCAACCTACACTGACTCAGTGACTTGTTTTCTGGTCTACAGGTGAATATTGACCACTTCACTAAGGACATCACAATGAAGAGCCTGGTGGAACCTTCCCTGAGCAGCTTTGATGTGGCCCAGAAAAGAATCCATGCTCTGATGGAGAAGGATTCTCTGCCACGCTTTGTGCGTTCTGAGTTTTATCAGGAGTTAATCAAGTAGTAATTTGATCTGCCTATGAAAAACATTCCATGAGTTCTGCTTTCCATAACAACACTGAATTATCCAATCACATGCACATCTAGCTTTCCATAGCAGCTTTGCTCAAAGATACCCACACAGAGAATTCCAGGGAGTGCCCATTACTCTTTTGCCTACATTAGTCTGGATGTGGATCTGTTGTCTGAAGACCTTTCATTCTTCCTGCCCTATTCGATTGAGCTCTACCCAGTTTCTGTCAGTCTTCATTCATTACAGAAAAATCTTGCCTAACACAAAGCTATCTCAGAGAAGAATATGGTACAATCAAGTGTGGGGAAAGATTATTGCCACCTAAACTAGCCCAAAATAAAAGATAATATAGTTAAAAGACCAATTTGAAAGGAACACGATTGATTGTTTTAATCCTGACTGAAAGAGATTACTCTTCTAATTATTTCTGAATTTTTAAAAGTCATAAGCTTTTTATGAGATAACCATTTGATTTTCTAATAATGCTTTCTCCAAAATCATCTTTATGTTAATTGCATATTATGTGATACATAAGGTATACAAACATGAATATCTTGTTTATGCAAAATCAATCTAAATATAATTTATATTAATCCTGACTTTGTATCTCCCTCACTGGCCTCTCTATAAATTGTTTTTTAAATTGGTGACCTAAGATCAACAATGAATTATTATATAAAAATATCTATGTAACTGAGATGCAGGCCAAAATTTAATTTCCAAATGATTTGAAATCCTTCCGAGTGTACAATTAATCCCCAAATTTCTGACTCTAATCATATAAAATAAAACTGCTGCCATGCTTTGGAGTGGCCTATCATCTCAATATCAAAAGGGCAATGCACTAAAAAGGGAAAAATAATCTCAACATTAATTATAATTAATTATGATGCCATCTGTTTCTTTAGTAATGATGATTATGTTCAAATACCAAATTGTCTTTGAGAAAAGGTGACTATGTGAAAGCTTTCTAAATGAGACAACTTTCAAATATCCTGCAGTTTGCAAAATAATAGAACCTTTCTGCAACCAGACTTCCTTCACTCTCTTGCTTTCTGAATTAGTAAGTTTTAATTATAGTCAGAAGTTCAGATTCACACTCCCAACATGCCTCATACAGCTAAGTGATAGGCCTTGGTATTTTTAATAGATTTAAGCTTATAGTTCTCTATTTCATTATTATAAGTCTTGCTAAAATCTTTTTTCATAGATTTTATGAAGTAATAATTCACATAATTTAGGAAGAAATATAAGTAAACGGAACCATATAAGGATAGTTAAATTGAGGGCATTGAGTTGATTTTTAAGAAAGAAAGTGTTTTGAACAGGACTAATAAAATCCTTAAATGGTTAAGTAGATTACATTGTTTAATTTTATATTTTCTCTTTTTCCTTTTTCATTCGCATACTCTTAGTTTCCCACCACGTGTATCTCAATTATTCACTTATTTCCTAAGAATATTGAAAGCTAAGTGACTTTGTTATTCTTTTCTTTGGGCAAACACTGTGGATGTTGGTAAGGCTTTTGGGGTTTCAAAGGATATTTTATCTGAATTATTGACATTTCACATTCTCAATATGAATTAAAGTGACAGAATATACCACAAAGTTACAAGTGATAGGAATTCATTTATGTCAATATTGTCATTTATACTTCCAGTATTATAGAGGAGCTCTTCATGTATCAATATATGAGATATATGAGCTCAACACTGTGGGCATGGAGAAGTGCTCTTGTGTGGGATTGACAAGGCACTCAGACGAAAAGTCCCAGCAGGTATTCTGACATTCTTCCTCAGCAGCTAGCCATTCTGTACCAAGTAAACAAAAAGTCTCAGACCTTGAAGTCTTAAGAATCTAGGCAAGTTCATTTCTCCTTGAAAAAGTAATGTAGTTAAAAGTTTAATTTTTTCTTTTGGTCAGTTGTGGGGTTTGAACTCTGGGCTTGGGCACTGTCCCTGCGCTCTTCAGCTCAAGGCAAGTACTCTACCACTTGAGGCACAGCACCACTTCCAGTTTTCTAGTGGTTTATTGGAGATAAGAGTCTCATGGATTTTCTTGTCCGGGCTGGCTTTGAACTGCAATCCTCAGATCTCAGCCTCCTGAGTAGCTAGGATTACAGGCTTTAAATATTTTTTTTATATTATACAAACTAGCCAAATTTTGGAATTGTCCATGGAATTAACTAGGTGTCACAACTTTCACTCAGATGATTTCTCTAATTAACTATATTTGAAAACTGTCTGTGCATCTTTTATGGGAGGCTGAAGTGTAAATGGAGGATGAAGAGAGCCTTTGCTGAACCCAGAGGAAAAGGGTGGGAAGGGCATCTCAAACTAGGGGTATAAAGCTTCAACAGTGGAAAGAAGGGAAGTCCTGAAGCCAAATGGTCACATTGTACCCACACATCTATCTATAGCTATAAGTATTTTATAGTTAAACAGCTCTATACATACCTCCATGTATATTCTTCTATTATATAAAATAATAAAATGAGCATAAATATTCTAGACCCAAATGAGAAGCCATATGTACGAAGATTGCCCTAGAAATTCTTTTGGGAAAGCTCTTTGAAACATAAATAATACAGAACTATTTTAAAAACAGCAAGAAACAAAGAAAAGTAAAAGCAACACTTCTATGTTGGTAGTAGTTTCTATGGTTACTTGAAGACAATATATTCCTTTTAATCTTGGAAATTAGAAAACATGGGATGTTCTTTCCAGGAAAAAAATGGGTAACCTCTATCTATCATTTCTCTCCTTCCTCTCCTTCCTCTCTACTTTTACTTGAGTAAATTGCCTGGGAAAAATGAAGGTTCACATTAGAGCCCTGTGTTTGCTTTTTGCACCTTATGAACAAGGAACTATAGTCATAGTGGATTTGGGATGTAGGAACATGTTAGAACCAAGTTTTGGTCAGTGGAAAAAGAAGTATTTGTTTTTGTTCTTGAGAGAGACCTATGATTAGCCTAGGTATTATCTCCTAACTAAGTTTTATTGCTTGGGGTTAGGGTCTGGGCAAAAAGACAGACTATCAGTTCCAGAGTAACTAGGAAACTATGTTCATGTTTTGTTAAAAAGCAGTGGTGGGTCATGTGAAGAGCCCTCCATCCTTCCCTTCTTCCTCCTCTGATACTTATACATTCCATCACAAATTTTATGATTTGAGGATCATCTGAAAGGCTAGTTATATTTAAGCTAAATGACCTTTACTCCTGAAACTATTCCCATTAGTAAGCCATTTTCCCTATTCCTTGAGAATCTTGATTGTTTGGGAAAGGATGGGTCATGAGATAAAAGACAAGAGAGCAGAAGAAGGAAGTTGTAAAGAAGTACCCAGACTTGTGAAATTAGTCCACTGGCTAAGAAAGATTTAAGAGAAGCTCACTTTAACTAAAAATCCAACTGCTTGTTGCTGTCATTTTCTATCATTGCAGGGAAGCATTTCTTTACCCACCATGCAGCTATACCAGAAAGCCCATTTTAACACCCTAGAGAACTTTAACTAGAAGAAAAAACATGTGGAGAATCTCCTAATACCATTTGACTTGTATGTGCCAGAAAGCAATGAGTAGAGAGCCCAGTTTCTAAAATATTTAATCATTCAAACCTAAGAGCAAGACAACTTTAAGTTGGTTTTGGATATAAGGTTTTGGTATATCTTGATCTATGAGACCACTCCGACTTATTATTGATGTTAAAAGCACACAGTTAACATTTGCTTAGGGCAAAGCTCTTTAGTTAACAACTTACCAACAGCTTCTTATGTTAAATATACTTTTTTTTCTTTTTTTTAACAAATCATCTGTCAAACCAAAGCAATTGCTATCCAAAGAAATGCTTTTCCCAAAACAATTCTGGAACTGAAGGTTCAACTCTTTCCATTTAGAAGACATCTGAGACTTTGAATAGAAATTCATATCATAGCATGATAATATTTGGAGTACTATCTTCAGCCCATAGGTTAAAAATAATCTTATATTTTCTAGTAGAAAAACTATAATACAACCTTATACATATCTATTTGACTAAACCTATGGCAAGTTACTTACTCTCTCATTAGTGATATTCTCCTCCCCACATATCCCCTGTACTTTCCTTTTTTCTCTGTAACAGGAAATATTTAAAATAGTTGAGTCTAATCAACGTTACGTGATAGTGAATACATTAAAAGCATTTAACTTCCTGTCTAAGAAAATATACAGGCCAATGCAGACAAAAAAAGGAAAACGCTGAGAAACGTGTTACCAGAGATGAGTAACAAGCATAATGTTTGCAAAACTTCATTTTATGTCATATAGTGCCTGGATATGAGGGAAATAAAGTTTGAGGATTTTTTTAAATACTGCAATTTGAAAATCAACATCAGGAGATAAAGTCAGGAGAATGGAGTAGAAGTAAAAGGTTGAGCAAGCCATTTTGTCATCATTATACCTATAAGCTTTAACTTCTGGAACAATTGTGTTTATCTTCTGTTTTTTAAACCCATTATTTTATGAACAACTCTTGTTTCTTGGTAAATAAATCACCATATATATACATATATATATATCTGTAGCCATAATCACAATGTCATATTAAATATATATGCCTGTAATAGCCTCATATGTGTCATTTTTGACTCCTGAGCATTCTTTTATGCATTCTTCCTTGAGAAAGATTTGTTTGCTCACCAGGTTTCTAATGGCAGAGGAGCCCTTGATCAATGGAGCGGTCCTTGTCAGTTAGTGTCCACTATAACCCATCCTAATATGCAAAACTCAGAACAAAATGCAAAGTGCCCTGTTTTCCTATGCTCCGGTGACTCCTGTCTCTCAAGTACCAATGGCAATCACTTACTGATTTAGGGGCTATCACCATTAGAAATTGACTGTGTACATCATATTCATTGAATTCTACAATATTTGATGAATGCAGTGCTTTCTTTTTTTCCTGCACTGGTTAAAAATATGAAATCCAGGTGTCACTATAAGAAGCTAGGACCTTAAAATTTATGCTAAGATAGTTTATGTAGAGTATTAGGGTCACATAATGAAGAGGATTGGAACTAGGGGAGAAAGCTTGTATACAAAGAATAAAAAGCCCATATAGGATCAGATTATAGAAATAAGTAATAATTGGAATCCATGTGGAAAGAAAGAGAGAGAAGAGAGGAGACAGAAGAGAAAGAGAGAAAAGAGAAGAGAGTAGAACATAGGAGGGTGGAAGTAGAGGAGAGGAAGATAGGGAAAGGCAAGGGAGAAGGAATGGAAGAGGGGAGAGGAGCCAAGATAGAGCAGAGAGACAAAGAAAATTCAACACGGACATTCACGAGGATCTTTCTTAGTCTTTGACAAGTATTTTAATTTTCATTCCTATTCCCCATGCAGAATCATTTCAACCTTCTCTCCTCTTCATTTCAATGATCTTGGATGAGCTTTTGAGAGTTTCCACCCAGAAGTATTATTGGAACAGACTTCTTCTCTCTCTCCCCAAGAATAAGTGTGATATTCTCAAGATCAATATGAAAATTAGTGATAGAACAGAGCTTGTAAATCAGGTTGCTTCTCAAATTCCTGTTTGGTTCACTACAGCAGAGAACTTGCAGGAAGTTGGTTCAAAGTTGGAACCCAGTTCTATTATGTGTCCAAGTCAGGATAGCCAAACTCTCCAAACCATAAGATCTCCAAAGAATAACTAAGTTAATAATTTCTGAATCATTGGTGTCTTGAAAAAATAATTTTCCTATAATAAATCATCTTAAAAATACATTAACTTTTTCAGGTAGCTTTTAAGTGAGTCCAATTTACTCAACATTTGATTTAGTCTCATCCGGCAAATATTCTTCTCATTTTCTCTTTGGTCAAATCCTGCCTTCTTATACTTCAGCTTGTTTAAACAATAATAGATGTCACAATATTCAATGTATGTCCTAGGAAACTAGAAAAACTGAGGAGAGGGGCATGATTAGGAGGGATGGAAGTACAATGGAAGTGGTGATATTGATCAAGATACATTGTTTTCATAAATAGACATGTTGAATTGTAACCCCTTTGGAAAACTACTTAAAGATAATGAAAATATAATTTAAAAATAAAAAATAAAAAAGCAAAGCCTATGAGAAGGCAGTCTATGCTCAGCCTTTGGCAGCTAGACCTCATGGCCAACAAGGACTCTGCTATTGAAGTCACATTTCCCCCTTGCTCCCATAAAGGAGGTTTGCAGCTGATGATAGTAAGCCAACAGGGCAAGGATGCCCACGCTCAAGAAGTGGTGCCTGTCATTGCCACAGGAAGGAACAACATGTGACAGGTGAGAAATAGATGCCCGCCTCAATTTGTGCTGCTAAATGCCTGAAGCCTCTTTGCTTCTAAGCAGAATTCTTGGAAAACATAAAAAACACTTAAACAGGAATTAGAGCCCCGGAGGTTTTAATGAATGAGGATGTGTGGAGATTGATGTTCCCTTATTTCTTTTCACTGAACATTTATTTTGACTGCTTCTTCATTTAGTAACTAAAGCCCTAACCTCTTTGAGTTTCTCTAACATTTTGAATGGCAATGAGTGGGTAGAAAATAAAGAGAATAAAAACCCATGTTCAGTAAAATGTAGGCACTGGAGCTGACTTTACAAACATTCTCACATGGCTAGCATGGGTACTTATTCTTCCTCCCTCTGCAAAGTTTTACTTCAGCTGGGATGTCAGTCTCTGATGGGACAGCAACTGGGGTACCTATTTGCCTGTCCAGGTCTCTCAGCCAAATTGCCCCTATGATCATCCATATCACATATAAGAAATAAACCCAGTCATCTTCACGACTCCATTCCATGTCAAAGAAGAAACTGAGGTCCACAGAGGTCTAACTATTCACTTAAAGTTACACATCTGGATAATGATTCTGTATGGTTCCTAGTGTGGATAGTTTTATCGTAAAGAAAATTCGTGTTCTACCAACATTAACGTATGTATTTCATAATAATAGATGTTCTTAAAGTTGATATTATGTAGCTACTATATGTTAGTGCATTTTGGCTCAGATAAAATGGTGCATCTTGAAAATAGAATTTCTCTCCTCTTGTGGTGATAATTTTCCTAGCTGGATATCCTTTTGGGTGAGCAACTCACTCCTCTGAATGTAAAATATGGTGTTAGAAGATTATCAGCCATTCATATTTTAAAATAAGCATCACCAAGAGAATTGTGCATATGGCTTATTTTTCTTAAATTCTCCCTGAAGACAGCAGAGGAATAGTGTTCACTGACTGAGAGGAAGATTGTTTTGATTGAAGGAGAGTGAGGTCTACCTATTATTATATTTTGATGGTTGTTAATCCATATGTGTTATACAAGATTCCATTCTCTCTTGAATATTATGGTAGTCAGTGTTTGGCTGTTGCTTTACTCTTTACCTGGATATGAAGAACTGGCAAACCTCTCATGCTAAGTTTCCCATGTTACCAACTGCACAGTACCATTTTCAGTTCACCTTGGCAAAACATCGTCCATCACTGAAGCCCCAAATCTCATAGGAAGAGCAACACATACAATGCTCAACAGCTTTTTGTAACAAGAAGGAAAATAATGTAGTATGGCCGATCATATTTTTCTTCTGTTTAAAATATGCTGGCTGTTTATTGTTGGTAGCCCTCATAAGTTTCAGACCCAGGAGCCAGAACTATTTGTACATGAATGGGTATCCTTTCCCACCAACTGACTCAATAATACATGCCCATGTATTTAGACTCACCCAGTTATTGTTAATAGCAAAACACAGATTCACTCAAGTATTTCCTGAATTTCCCTGAGCTAGTCATTTCAAATCTTTTTTAAAAATTTATTTTACTAGTAATTTTTTATTTCTACAATTAACCTTTTATTTACATTTTGAAACAGCATTTTTATTATTATTAAGTAGTTTTACATAGGAGTTGCCATTCACCAAAGTAGTTTATGAATACAGTGCAGCTCGATCCATGTCACCTCTTTCAACATTCTCACCCACCCCTCCCAATCTTACCTCCCAATCTAAAAAACAACTTATGTGTACCATGCATCTTGATCTGTCACGACTTCAACATCTTCACTTCCTTTCCACCCACCCATGCCCTTGTATTACTCTATTCTGTGGTACATATAATGAATTCTTCCCTGCATTCTAACTCCTTCCTTCTTCATTCTCCTTTCCCCTTGTCCCCACCCTCCCATCTTGAAACATCCATTTCCTGGTACTTCTTTCCTTGGGCTTTGACTTAGTCTTTAAAAAGAGTCACACTATTTGTGCTTCCCATAGAGTTTATTGCACTTCTGTTCCTTCATTTGTAGCCCCTTGATTATCACCCAGTGTATTTACTGGTAGATTTATAGGCACATTCTAGCTACCACAAATGAGGCAAAACATGCAACTAGTGTTTCTCTGGGCTTGACTTACTTCATTTAATAGAATTTTTTCCTAAGTGTTCCTATTTCCTTACAAATGGCACAATATCATTGTTTTAAATGAATTGATAATGATATTGTGGCTATTCTACTATGGATCTCCTCAAAATTCACTCAGAAATTCACAACCCCAGTGAATAGCATCCTGCATTCTCAGCACCATACATGAAATTCTATAAACCAGCCAAGCATAAGCAACTTTCCCAGAGAGCTCTGAACACACCTTACTTTCTCAGGTATTAAAGGTCTTGAGCAGAGAAACTCCCTTTATTGAGCTTCCTCTATTTTATTTAGATAACACCAACTATTTTTTTAAAAGAATTGGCATGTGGATGGGAAGGATAGAAGGAGTGACTTCGATGAAGATACATTGTACTCTTAATCTGATTTGTTGAATTGAAACCCCTTTGTACAAAGGGGTTTCCCAAAGAAACTACCTTCACCTCCATTAAACCACATCTAACATTGAGCCAGGTTGGATGACATTTCTCTAGAGTGTTGTGATTCCACCAAAACTATGTCTCTACTTTTTTTTTAGATTCATTGTATAGAGCACTTAAGGGAATTGTCTCTGAGAACAGCATTAGAAAAACAAAGATTTGTTATTTTAACTTTGGAAAAAAATTCACAATATGAAAATGATCAGTTACTACCCTCTTCCTAAATTCCTGGGAAGATTTAGGCCAAGAACACAAACTAAAATAACTGTGGGTTCTAGCTATACCACCAGCAGACAGCATTCCCCCAACACCCTGGTGTCATTCTGTGTGATGAAAGTACAGTCAGAGATATAATAAGGCTGTCACCCCAGTAGATCAGAGACTATTGGGACCATCAATAAGCTCAGAACTCCCCAAGAGTAAGAATGTAATCATCTCCTCCATCTCCTTCAAAGCTGTGTTGTGAGTTTAATTTCCTTGACTCTGACTGTGCTCCTTTTCTGGGTAAGTAGGTCAGATACCTGTCAGGTTCTTTGTCTCTGAACATCTCAGCCAATTTGCTAACCATAAAAGAAAAGAGACAGAAAATAAATGGATTCTTCCTGATAATTTTATGGCAAGTAGCTGTTGTGACTTTTCACTCTAATGGTATTTCTGTTTCCCTTTAGGGGGTGAGTGTGCTAAGAGGCTAATCTC